CCCACTCTGTGTTTCTCATCTCCTTAAACCTGAGCTGTCATTTGAATGCCAAAGAGAATAGCTCCTGGATGGTCTTGTGGTCTCCTGGGAGGACTCTTTCCACAAAGTGAACACCTGAAGCTGCTGCTGCTGGCGTGCTGTCTTTCTCCATCTGCTTCCCGAGTAGATGTCTGCTGTGTGTGGCCTTTGGTAATTGGGTGGCTCAGAGTGTGTAATTAGAGTCCCCCATGGACATTGCACGGTGCAGCCAAACAAAAAACCAAAGTAAAGTGTTTACTGGGGCTGATCTAAGTTTATAGCTCTTCCTTATAAGCTGCAATTTCTAAACTTTGCCCATTGGAAAACTGATTTGCACTGAATTTATATTATAAATTTGAATTTATTAAAATATCCACTATACCATTTTAACTTTATGTATTAAATTCCGTACTTGTTTGCCAACCCCAAAGTGATTTCTGCTACTAAAAAAAGTTTGATAACCGATGTTTAGACCTGTGGAGTTCAGAGAGTAGATATTTACTCTCTTAAGGTGACTATTTGAAATTGAATATAATTCAAAATTCAGTTTGTTGGTTTACCCTAGCCTCAGTTGAAGTGCTTAGTAGCCACATGTGGTTAGAGGCAATATAAGGTACAATGTAGATATAGAACATTTTCATCATCACAGAAAGTTTTGTTAGACAGGCTTCCAAAGTTTTCTTTTTTATTCATTTAGATTAGCAGAGAGCTTTATATTTTTTTCTGTATATTATATACACTATAAGAAACTGATAGGTGAACCAATTAGGATCTGTAAGGGACAGTGTTAAAGACTCCGGTGTATTATTTAAATAGAATAACCCACTAGAGAATTGTTTCTCAGAACTTTGATTACCAGGGCAAATTCCTTTTCTCCTGAGACTTATCATCCTATTGTAAGCCAGTGTGAATTTTAGAATTGATCCTTTTCATGTTTTTGCTTTATCAACTGTAGAGCATAAGGCCAAATTTATGGCTTAATTTAAGTCACTTTTTGGTTCATTGTCTTTTTTTTATAAATGTGTATATTTATAAAATATAATTGTATTATCTGGACTGCTTTCCAAAGTACGTGATGTAGAATGTACCCGTCATAAGACCAGTTTAATGCACTTTTCTAAATCGTTTTTATATTTTCAAAATAACATTGAAAGAGGGGGCCTCCCCGGTGGCGCAGCGGTTGAGCGCTGGGTTGCGAAGCTGCCCGCGGCCTCTGCGGCGCCGGTTCGATCCCCGGCTGCTCCCCGGCCACTGGCGGAGGATCCCACATGGCGCGCAGACCTCTCCTGCCGCCCGCTGCTCCCCTCAGCAGTGTACTTCGGTCCTTCTGCCTGCTCTGCTCCCCGCTCTGGCTCTGGTGAATTCTCTCACCCTCCCGCACTTCTGACTGTACCCAGTGCATGTGTAAACAAAAACAAACAAACAAACAAAATAAATAAATAAAAAACATGCCTCTATAAAAAAAAAAAAAAAAAAAAAAAATTTAAAAAAAAAAAATAACATTGAAAGAATTTACTTACTGAAGTAGTCTGTAAAAATTTTAGACTTTTTATTATTGCTAAGAAAATTCCACCAGGAGCTTATTTGATATTCCAGCTGGTGAGCCAGGTTTAAACAAAGAGGGGAGGAGAGTGCAGTTTCATTTCTTTTTGAATGTTCTGTATCTTTTGGATCACGCTGAACTTCATTCCGGGCATTTATACCCTCTCAGTATGAAAACGCCACTGTGCTTTTCTCTTTTTTTCCACTTCATACTGGAATTTGTAAACAGGTGAATGTTATATATGCTTTTTATGTTTTACAGCTCTTCTTGCTTTTGAAAACACTGGAAGCGACTTAAACTTTTTGGGCTAAAAGTCAATAGTAACTTTATAAAAAAAAAAATCAGCCTCACTAAAAGAAACCTAAGCATTAAGTATTCCCATCTATCAGTGTGGAGCAGATTTGGGCAATGTTTTTAATTTTATGTTTTCTAGTTGCTGAAGTGAGAAAAAGAAACAGAATTATATAGTGTTCATGTACTGACAACCGGAAGCATATAAACATCTGCAGAAACCAAACATTTCCTGGAACTAAACTCAAGCAGAAATTTATCACGTGAATCTTTGTTTAAAGAACCCAGTGAAAAATATTTTCAAGCACAGTTATGTAAAAGGCCCAGGGTGCAGCTCGTGGCACTGGGCACTCCAGAAGGCAGAGGCCAACGAGCCTGCTGAACACGCCTGCTCGGGAGGGGCATGTGCTGGTGCAGGGACTGGGGCCACAGGACCCAGCACCTCTGCTGTTCCTGAAACTATACCAGGAAAGGAGTTTAAGAATTCGTTGCCAGGTGACCAGGGAAGAATCGGCTGGGAGACTTGTCCAGATGGAGGTGATGGGGCTCAGAGGGTAGCAGTGATGGGAGAAATAGGGGAGAAATAGCATGAAGGAAGCCATATTCTAAAGACTGAAGCAGCAGGCTTTGTTGATGGGTTGGATGTGAATTCTGAGGGACTAGAAAAGTCAGGGATCACTTGGAGGATCGAGTTGCCATTTATCAACTCCTGTAGGAGCATCAGAGTTGGGAGGTGACGAACACCAGGACATTGGCGCAGGATGATGAGAAATGTGAAATGCCTGTTTACGTATCCCAGGGGTGATGGCAAGTAGGCACTGAAAGTACGACCCTTAGGGTCCTGGGAGAAGTTCTTGCTTGGTGGTATTCAAAGTGACGAGACCCGCTGAGATGACCAAGGAGAAGAAATGTCCGTGGAAAGGAGGTTAAGGAACTGGGAACCCTGGCCTCTCACATTAAATGGTCAGGATAGCAAGAGTCTAAGAAGGAATGGCCAGTGGAATAGGAGAGACAGGAGAGTGTGAGGTCCTGGAAGCCAGACAAATAGAGTTTAACGTAAGAGTGGTGTGGTCATCTCCTACTTCTTGACAGGTCCAGCAAGATGAAAATTTGGCTATGAGAGTCAATAAAAATTGTTTCTGCTGCATTCTGTCCCAGGGGCCTTAAATGAATTCCATTAAACCTCTTTCTGGGGATACTGTGGACCTGCCTACAGGGTGGTCTCGATGAACTGTTTAGATGATGCAATGATTTATTGCATGTGCATGCCTCAGTGTCTGGCCATTGGATAGTTTAGGGTGGAACTTCTGTGGCTTTCATGAGCAATTTCAGGGGACAGTGGAGACAAATGCCTGATAGGAGCGAGCTCAGGTGAGAATTGGAGACAGCAGATCCAATCAGCTCTTGGAGGAGTCTTACAAAGTTGGTGTACATGAACAGGGAGGTTGTTCATGGGAATGTGGAGTCAAGAGAAACATCCTTTTCTTTCTCTTTTCTTCCCTCTAGTAGACCTTTCCACCCCGTCCCCCAGGTGCAGACTGTTTATATGTTGTTAAGACTTGTCCTGTATGGAGGGAGAATACTTACGATGTGATGGGATTTATCAGTGAAGTATTTGGGTCTTAGATAACAGTTGACTGAAATAACTAGATTGTTCTTTATTCTCTGAGCCTCCTCTTCTCCTTTCATTCATTCATTCAACAAATATTTTACTGAAGGTTCATAAAGTGCCAAAGTATTGAATAAGGTGCTGGGTAAAAGATGGTGATCATGGGTGAATTAAAGGAGAACAAATTCTTCCCTCTCTTTCATGAAGTTTTACTGTCTGGTGAAGCTAGGCTTTCTGAAAGCAAATAAATGCAGATTTAATGAATGTTTCGTAGGAAAAAGTGCAGTATACTTTTGAGTGGGAATTCCTGTGTCTAGAAGACCTCTCAGAAATGATGGGTGGCCATGACTGCGAAGAGCATCCTGGGCTGAGGGAACAGAGCATACCAAGACCCTGGGGCAGTGGAGTACGTGGTGCTTGGGGGACATGGCCAGTGTGGGCTGAGAGATAGGAAGGAACTCAGTTGTGCTGGACTTGGGAGGCCATGCTCAGGTTGGGGTTACACCTGAGGGGCAGTGGAAAGCTGTGGAAGAGTTTTAAGGTGGGAAGCGACGTGATGATACTAGCACTGGGGAGAATGTCTGGTGCCGCACTGTGTTGTCAAGTGGATTGGAGGGGGCAAGAGTAGGAAAAAAGAACACCAGCTTCTGCAAAAAGATAGCATCTGTGAAGCTATTTAGACTAAAATATTTACAGTTTTTGTATAAAAAAATAGAATTGAGACTTTTCTCTGTTTCGCAGAATTTGCTTTGAGCTTGACAGCTTTCTCAGTACCTGTGAAGAGAGCATTAGCTTGTTAAAACTCAAGTAAAATACAGAAGAGTCAATGACGATGTTAGTGGTTTCAGGTTAACATAAAATGAAACTTTGAAAAAAGTTGTGGCAACTTGGTGAAAAATTAAAAATAGTAAGACCATTTTTAGTAAGAACTTTTTTCTTTTCAGAAAAAAAAAAAATGGCCAGCAACACAGCATTAGCATCTTAGGTTAAGAAAACAGATTAAAGTACATGTATATAGACCGAAGAATAATTAGTCTCCTTGCCAAACTTTAGGTGTTGATATAATATAAAGAAACCTTTGAATTTTGCCTTTCATGTGGTGGATCTGTGCTCCTTTTGTTTGTAGAATAAAACCAATATAATGAAAAGTTGATTGGTTAATATTTCAAAAATTCTGTTTTCATTTTCAAGTGTGTCTTAGGTTGTGTCCTGAATTACAGGTTAAGAGCCAGAGATTTCTCCCGTCACTGGTGAGCAGGCGAGCCAGGTACACAGGACAGCGCTGGCCGGTTCTTCCCGCTGACCTAGGCTTCTCCCCAGGGAGGTTTCTTAACACAGAAGGTCACTTGTAATATCAACTCTTGCTGTCTCAGGTCACCCACCGCTCCAGGGCCAGGAATTAACTTGTTTGGAGACCTCACTAAGAAGAACAGAAAGCAAAGAATAAAGAGAAGTTAGGTTCTCTCTAGATGGTCTACTCGAGAGAATTCTTCCGTCTTGGTTTTCTTTCTCACCCCAGCTTTGTATTAATGCTTTCAGGGCTCGGAGCATCTGGAGATTTTACCATCTGGACTTTCTGTGCCTCACTGCTCTAAGCTTGAACCTGCCAGTTTATGGGAGATGGTTGAGAACAGCGCTCGAACATCTGAGTAAGTAGACGCTGCTGTATTCCATGTTACTGTTTAAAAAGGAAAATTTTATGACCAAAGTTTTAAAATATTCTGCACTTTATTTGGATTTTTTAAATTGGTTGTTGAAAACATTGGCCATTATTATAATTCCAGTAAGTGAATATTTATAAATAATGGGATTCTGGGAGAAATTAATTTCCCGATGATTAAAAAAAGGTAATAAAAATAGCTTCCATTAATAATATTTTTGTCTTTTATGAAGCATAGTCAAGATTTAAATGCATATATTACACATTTAAAAGCATCCTCCTTGGAGTTTATTTCACTTACTATATTATGAAATGCAAAAATATTGGTCAGGCAACTTATGAATTTTTAAAATGCATCTATTTCTATTCAGAAATTATCTTTTCACCACATGCATTTTGATTAACTTAAAATAAATACTGGTCGGTTTAGTGGAAATAGTTTTAATAGTGCTATTTGAAAATGTTTTTTTTTTTTCTTGCTAATATAGATGAGATCACAGAATTCTCAGGGCTCAACTTTGTGAATTGAAAAGACTTAGGAAGGAGAGTGTTCATTCTTTCTAATCAAAACCTCTGAATGAAATTTAAAAAGTTGAGCCAGTTGTCTTGATACAAATTATTGCTCAGAATGAAAGCTGCTAATCCTCTCCATAGAGCCATTGAAACTCTATTGACACAACAAAAAAAGGAAAACATGAGGCTGTACCAGGGCTGTGTTACGAAATGCTAAGTCAAAAACAATAAGTGCTCAAGATACTCCGCCCTTTAGTGGCCTAATTTCCTGTTGGGCTGTATTTGTCTTGCCTGATATGGCATGGCCACTGGCCGCATGTCACTGCTGACACTAGATGTGGCTGGGCCCAGCTGATGTGTCTGTGCATAAAACACACACCACCCTCCACAGACTTAGCATGAAAAAAAAAGACTGAAATATTTTATTAGTAGTTTTTGTTTAATCACATGATAAAATGGCAGTGTTTCAGTTACTGGATTAGGTGAAACATTATTAACACTTCACTTGTTTTCTTTTACCTTTTTTTTTTAAAGATTTATTTATTTATGCATACAAGAGCTGGGGTGCAGGCCAGAGGTGGGGGGGGCGGTGAGAGGATTCACCAGAGAACAGAGTGGGGAGCAGAACAGGTGGATCTACTGAAATACACTGCTGAGGGGAGCAGCAGGCCAGATAGGAGAGGTCTGCTGCGCGATGTGGGTTAGCTCCCTGGCAGGCCAGGGATCGAACTGGTGCTGCAGTGGCTGTGGATAGCTTCATAGTGCTGAGACTTAACCCCTTGAACCACCAGGGAGGCCCCTTCTTTTACTTTTTTAATGTAACTGCCAGAAATACATGGTATTTCCAGTGGACAGAGCTGGTTGGTGTCATCGTAAACTGTCACCTTTCCTAGTCGTCTGTTACTTAGTATCCTTTAGGCCTTGAGCCTCCTGGTCTTCGTGTGGATCAATTAATAGGAAGCTATGTTGTTTTAACAATGATTCTTTGATTCGCCAAATATTGGTTGAGCACCTGTCATTTGCCAGTCAGTATTCTGGGCGCTGGTGACACAGTTGTGAGCAAAGCAAACCAAACTCCCTGTCTTCGTGGAGTTAATGTTTTATGGGAGAGACACAAACTGAAAAATAAATACGGAAATATGTAGCACGTACTTTAGAGAAAAGGTAAGGGAGGGGTTGAATTATAAATAGGTTGTGCAGGGAAGACCTCAGCAAAAAGGTGATATTTGAGCAGAGACTTGAAAAAGATGAGGGGAATTGCCCTGGGGCCCTTTGAGGGAAGAGTATTGGAGGCAGAGACAAGAGAAAGTCAAAGACCTTGAGGCAGGGGTGTGCCCGGCTCCTTTGAACAATGCGGAGGGATTCTGAGATCAATTGAAGTGAGAAAAGGCAGATGAAAGGCAAACAGATGGTCACACCATGTGAGCAGCAGCGGGGTGGTTATAAGGACTTGGGCTTTGACCAAGATAAAAAGGAATTGGTTGGTGGGTTTTGAGAAGAGAAGTGACATGATGTTGCTGTTGATTAGATGTTGCTGCTGTGATTAGAATACTCTGGGGTCAGTGTGGGAACACTTGCAAGGGTGGATGCAGAGAAGCAGTTCAAGGCCACCACAGTCACCCAGGTAAGAGGCGAGGTGGCTAGTCTCATACATAGGGGACGTGATGGGATTTTAGTGATACGTTGTTGTGAAATTGGGTTTGGGATGAGAAAGAGAGAGACATGTCAAGGATGACTCAGTTCTCTGCCTGAATAGTCAAGAATGGAGTTGACTTTTATTGAGACCAAGAGAACTAGGGTGGGGAGAGAGAAGGGAAGGAGGGATAGATTTGGGGTAGCTCCAGGAACTCAGTTTTGAATGCGTGAAATTTGAGGTGCCACTTTAGACATCCGAGTGGAAGAGTCTAAAGTACAGTAAGCGGTGAGGGCTGAAGGGGCCAAGTGGAAGTTCTTAGCATTTAGCTGCTATTTGAAGCCCCAAGAAGAGCTGAGGTGCCAAGGGGGTCTAGCTAGGGAGAGGGGGAGTCCAGGATCTGCATCCTTGGAGGTCAGGAGATGAGATGGGACTCCACAGGGCCGACTGACAGGAAGGTGGAAATTGGGGCATTCTGGTGACCGAGAGAAGAAATGCTTCAGGGACGCAGGAGTAACCTGCTTGTCAGAGGCTGCTAGTGGGTTAGGTGGGGTATGGACTGAAAATTGACCCTAGGACTTAACCCCAAGGAGCTTGTTAGTGACCTTGATGAACATTCCTGTGATGTGGCGAGAAAAGCCTGACTGCATGGGTTCAGAGGAGAATTGGAGGAAGTAAGTGGGGTTGGGGGGAGCCTATAGACCCTAGCTCGAGGAACTGTGGCATCAAAGAGTTGCAAGGACATTTTTGGTTTCAATTTCACAGATGAGAGGAATGAACATATTTCTCCCATCACATGCATTGGAGTGAGATTTCTTGATACTCTTAAGTGAGCCAACAGATTGTGACATCCAAGACCACCCCCGTGTGTGTGTCTATGTGGGAAAGCTAGTGGTTCCCTCCTGGGAGGAGTCATCGAATGGGGGAGGGGGGGAAAGCAGTGCTTGACATTGAAGGTGCTAAAGGTTGCTTTTGCAATTGCTGTGGCTTTTGGGTTCATTTCTTCTTACCCAGGGTCTGCACTCACATGCTGATAACTAAAATTTTTAAGGAAACACATATTCAATGAGTTCTCCTTGCCTGAAAGTGTTGAGAAAGCTAGTGCTTGGGGGTGATTTCTTCGTCTTACCTATACTGAAGTGGCTGAAGCACTGGAGAAATGGAGGCCGCGACATTTCCAAGGTTAAGAGACAAGGTATTGCCAGGATAGCTGGGTCTTAGGTCTGATTTGTAAGCGATGTGGAACACTTAATCCCCCGTATTTCAGTTACAACAGGTATAAAATAAGGTTAATACTTGGTCTTGCTACTACACAGGGTTTTATAAGGAACCAATGAGATAATAGTGAGCTTCGTCATCTACGAAGCATTCTATAAATATGAAGTAATGGTGTTAAAAACAAGTTAGGCTTGAGGATTTTGTCACAGTATTTGGCATAACTGGTGAAAAAATAGAATGTGTTACGAAATCTTGGGTTGAGAATAGCTACAATACATAATAATACTAATAATAGAATCTGTAAGAATTTGCTTTTTGCCTGCCTCTCACCACAGAATCCCTTCTGTTTGGATCATTGTATGGGGTCTGTGGTCAGGAGCTGTGGCTGAGGTCCAAGGGATCAATCAGTTTATCCCCAGGAACCTCAAAATTCCTGAACATCTGGCTCTTCTGGTACTTGAACATAATATTAGTTTGTTGGCTGTTTGTGGGAGAGCCACTCTCTTAATGGAAAACAAGCTATGATGATTAATTTTTTATCAAACGAGAGCATTTCTATATTTCATACTTTAAGTGGAATTGTAGTCATACTTTATTTACGTAAGAGACTGTTATAGGAAATTGAGAAATTTGAAATGGGTAGCCAATACCAGTCCCACTAATGATGAGGTGAGATTCTCGTTCTCAAAAAAAAAAAACAAAAACAAATATAAAACTGGATAAGATTGATGAAAATCATTTTGGAGCACTGGAAATCGATCAGATAGGCAGATGATAAATATGCTTGTACTTTGGGTGAGAAGCGGGATTGGTGCGCACTCCTTGTTGGGCCCTCTACTGCCCCCACCTCTATCTCAGTTAGTGAAAACTGCAGTTTTACCAGCTGATGGGTTTTTTATTTTGTTTATTTATTTATTTTCACCAGAAATGATACACTCAATTTGGAGTAAAGGTGGTGTACTCAGTTCATAATGGCTGGGGAAACATACAGCCCCTTCACCCCATGTATAGCTCCATCACTGGAGGGTAGAAGACTTAAAAAAGAGTGCTTTGTTTGAGCACCTCTGTTCAAATACTGGCTGACCATTAAACCAGGCCAGGAAATAGAAATGTGAATTTTTAAGACACCAGGGATTATACTTTACAGAAGAGACAGATTTTACAGTTTAAGTTAAAGCAGATTGCTAAAAGAACCATCAAAAACCCTTAGAAAAAACTAAGGTCTGTTAACCAACGAATGGATAAATAAAATGTGGTACATTCACATTGTAGCACACATTGGCACTTCATTATTTATTGCCAGGTAATTATCCCATGCTCTGAGCGTTGTTCACTGTAGGCAAAAACTGGAAACAAACCAGATACATTGACCTGTGAAATGATAAACAAGATGTGTTTTTATCCACTCAATGGAATATTACCCAGCCATGAAAAATAACAAAGTCCTAATTTGTGCTACTGATACATACCATCGCACAGATGGAAGTCAGAAATGTTGCCAAGAAGCTGAATTTGGCTTTTTTTCCTTTTCCCCTCCCCTGAGCAAATCCTTCATTCAACTCAGATTGTGGACATTCAGATTTGCCAGATAACATGTGCGTGGCAGGGATAAAAGTAGCTTGGGT